AATGGAATAATAATATGCATCTTTGAAATTCATCATTAATAGCGTATTTCTCACTGTTGTGTGATATTTCATTGTATGACTAGACCAAAATTTATCTATACATTGCTATTTTTGATGGATATTTAGACTATTTCCTACATTGGGTTATTATAAATAACAGTTGTTACTATTCCTATGTGACATTTGATGAACATATGCACTACTTTATCTCAGTTATACACCTAGGCATGGAAATGCTGGGGGATTAAAGAATATTAAGTCTAATTATAATAGATGCTATAAGTCTTTCTACAATGGTGATTTATATTTTCACCAGTGATGGATGGCACTTCTAGTTTTTCCACGTTCTTGGTAATGCATAATATTGGCAGACTTTCTAATTCTAGCCTGTGTTGGTGAGATGTAGTGGTCTCTCATTTGTAATTCTTTAATAAAGAAACATAAGCATACTTATATGTGAATTTTCTCCTACAAAGTGTCTCTTTAAACTAGCCAGGTTATTTCCCTTATTTTTATGCATTCCTTATCCAAGCAGAACACAGTTCTTGGACCTATTTGTAGTAATATAAACATTTTCTCTCAGTCTATGGTTTATCTTAATGGTATCATTGGAAAAACAGAAGTTTTGTATTTTGCTGTTGTCCACTGGGTATTTTTCCCTTTTATAGGTAATATTTTCTATGCCTTCATCTTCCAGATAAGGGATACTCTTATGTGTTTTCTTTTGAGAGCTTTCTCATTTTACGATCTATGTTAAGCCCATGGTGTATCTTGCAGTGTTTGTGTGTGTGTGTGTGTGTGTGTGTGTGTGTAAGATTTTGGTAGAGAAAAAGTTTCCTTTTCTTCTTGTACATTTAATAATTGTTGTTCCACTCCCACTTATGGACTTTTCCCACTTAGTCGTGTTGTTGTTACCTTTGGAGAAAAATCACATAAGCTTATGTGCATGGTTCTATTTCTGGAAATCTTCATTCTCTTTTCCTTATCTATTTGCCTATCTCGGTCCCATTGTTATTCTGCCTTGGTTACTGCAGCTTTGTACTAACTCAGGTAGTAAAAAAGTATGAGCTTTCCAACTTTCTTGGTCTTTTCAAAACTGTTTGGGCTAATTTAGATTCTTACATTCCTGTCTATTATTATAGCTATGCAGAAGCCTATTACAGTTTTTGTTATGTTAAACTGACATCTTAGCAACATTGAGTACTTCGATCCATTATTATGGCTTCTCTCCCATTTATATGGGGCTTTAATTTTCTTTCAACAATATTTTGTGAGTTTTGTATCCAGAGATTTTGTATGCACTTAAATATAGTCACTCCAATTTTATTAACATGTCATCATAAATAATGTTTTTTAGATTGAATTTTTGAATTTTTGCTGCCAGCATATAGAAATACAATTCCCTCAAATTTACTTGATAGTTCTAGTAACTTTTTGTGAATCCCTCAAAGTGTTAAATGTTGATGCTCATGCTTCTGCAAATAAGGGTTGTTTTATTTAATTTTGTCTGGTCCATTCATTATTTCCTTTTAGCATCTTATTGCAATGGGTAAATCTTCAATGCAATATTGAATCGAAGTGGTTATATTAGATATCCTCATCTTAGCATAAAAGTATTCAGTATTTCACCATGTAATGCTGCAGACCCTTTTCCAAGTTGTAAATGATTTCCCATTTCTACTTTGCTAAGAGTTCTCATAACTAGTGTGGGTTAAATTTTGTCAAATGCACTCTGTATATCCACTGATATGATATGGGTTTTCCTTTTAACATGGGGAATCGCTTTAATTGAATTCTGAATACACACACACAAGCCATGATATGCATTCTTTTATTATATGGCTAGGTTTGACTTGCTAATATTTTAAGGTTTTTTCCATCTAGTGCCATGTCAGATATAGTGTGTAATTTTTCTTACTTGAAAAGACTTTGTCAGGTTTTGTGAGGGGTTATGCTGCAAAATTTCTCTTACTCTGTTAAAAAAAATTGTATAAGACTAGAATTATTTATCCCTGGAACCTTTGAAGAGTAATGGGGTCTGAAATCAGAAATAAGGTGAAACCACCTGAGCATGGAAGTTTCCTCATGGGAAAAGTTATATTAAAAATTGAAGATATACTCCTAAGTGAAATAAATAAGTCACACATGTGTAAATACCGAATAGTTTCCCTGGTGTGAATAATCTGCAATAATACATAAGATCCTAATAAGATTACTGACATTTAGAAAATGGGAAGAAAGGAGCTAAAGGTGTAGGGAAGGTGGGATGGGTAGGGAAAGGGTAGTAAGGGAAAAGAAAAAAATGTGAGATAATGAAAAGATGGAAATAAAGTGTTTGTAGATGGGAAGGGGAGGAGGGGGTGAAGGGAGGGCAGGGGTAAGGGGAAAAAATGAGAATCAAGACTTGTCATGTAGAGATACAAGATCCCAACAATGAATGTAACTGTACTGTACCCTTAAAATGTACCAATAAACTCAAAGCTGGAAAAAAATTCAATTTTAAAGGGTCAGGGATTTAATTCAGTGGTATTGCCACCTGCCTTACAAGTGCAAGGTCCCCAGTTCGATCCCTGGTACCCCCCTAAAAAAATCAATTTAAAAAAATTGATATATGAATATTCAGATAATGATTTTTTTCTGATGTCTGTTTCAGTAATTTATCTTTCAGAGAATTTGACAATTGTATCTATATGGTCAATTTTGTTGGCATACATTGCGCCCAATATTTTTAACCTTTTGACATATGTAAGATTTATAATGATTTTCCTCTTCCATTTGTAATTTTCCTCTTTGATACTGCAAGTAATTTCATTACTTTTTCAGAGAATCAAGTGCTAGCTTTACTAACTTTAGCTATGTTTGTCCTTGCTCTATTTCACTGATACTTGCCTTTATATTTATTGACTTCTCCCTATCAATACATTATGGTTCGATTTCCTTAATTTCACTCAGATTCTTAAAATAGAAACATAGATGACTTCATTTTATGTCTTTGTTCTTTTCTAATAAGGAAAATATTTGAAGCTATAAAATTACCTCAAAACACTGCTTTAGTTGTATGTAACAAACTTTCCTGTGATCACTCAATGCAAAAAATTCTTAACCTGACAAAAATCATTTTCTCTCTTCATATGTTTGTTTCTTCATCTTCAACATGAAAGATTCTTGTTAAGAGATTTATAAGATCCCTTTACATGTATATTTCCTGATTATTGATTGGTTGAATATCTAAAACTATATATTTTTTTTTATTTTTTGGTACCGGGGATCGAACTTGGGACCTTGCACTTGCAAGGCAGGCAGTGGAACCACTGAGCTAAATCCCCAGCCCTAAAACTATAATTTTTAATTTTCCATGGCAGATAATTACTTATCAAATTTGATAGACCTTAACATTTGTTATATTTTAAGTTCATTAAATGATCAAAATATTTTCAAAACTTTTTATTTTGAAGATAACTGAATTTGGTGTTGATACTCTGTAACTTTCTTAAAAACAGCAATGCTATTGAATGTGAATTATATCCATTAACAATAGAAAATGAAAGCCAGAGTCCTCAAAATATAAACATTACAGGGCTGGAGTTGTAGCTCAGTGGCTGAGTGATTGTTTACTATGCCTGAGACCCTGGGTCCAATCCCCAGCACCACAACAAACAAACAAAAAATATAGACATATATTTGGTGTTTGTGTCCCCAGAATGACTATAAACTCAACAAACATTCTAAATTTAAAAATAAAAACATGTTGAGAAATGAAATAATCTCTGAAGAAGCATCTCTGAAGAAGGCCTGTGGTATGATAATTTTGTAGATTCTTATCTCTCCTTCCTACTACAGAGCTTCCAAAAGCACGTGGAATTTCCTGAGAGACCCCCTCATTAGCTGTAGGATGGGGGCTTCTCACCAGGAAGACCAATTCCATGATTGGAGAATTGGAACTTGGGACCAGTCTGACGCCCTACGAGAAGAGGAAGACTGGTGTTTGAGTTCAGTCACATGGAAAATAACTTAATCGCATCCATGTATTGAAATCCTGATTAAAAACTCCAGACACAGAAGCTGTATAGAGCTGCTGGTCGACGAACACACCAATGAGCTGGGATCCCGACAGCCCTACTGCACCTGAAGAGGCATGGGGCTTCACGTTGGGACCTGCCCAGGTCTCTCTCTAAGCACCACTTGGACACTTACTGGGTTCAGAATCAATATCTGCTTATTATTGTTTTATAATAAGACTGTAAGGGCAGTATTTCCTAGGTTCTGTGGTTTGTGCAGAAATTATCAAATGTAGGATCAGTTGTAAGAAGCCCTGAATCTGTAGCTGACGGTGTGCTACAGCCCTCGGGTTACAGTCCAAAGCAGAGCCAGTCCGTGGGAGACTGAGCCTTTCACGTTTGGGCTTTGATGCTACCTTTGAGTGGGTAGCGTCACGTGAATAAGATGGTTCCCCAGGCAGAATGCAAGGATGGTTCACAGAACAGGGGCACTGCACAGGAAACGAGGAAAGCACTTGCAGCACAGAACACTGACCATTCTCCAGTTCCCAGTTTGTTTTCTCAATATCAGTACTTCGTGGTTGCTGTTATGTTTGAGCTAAGCTAAACCCGGATTTGTTATCCTCTGCTGAACTCTGTGCAAATGGACTAAATTTTGAGCAGCAGGATGTACACAGAAGTGTCAAAGCCCTCACCTTGCCCTTTCATCATGAAAGCCACTTATTGCTTCTGCTCTGACCTCTTGGTAGCAGACAGCAATTCTGATCTGCTTATTTCCTTTCTTTCCTGGCATTGAAATCCAAAATGTGGTTCTCTTAAAAAGATCTATTACATTGCATAGGTTTACTTAATACATTTATCTAAAAGATTAATAAATTCTCTCCCAAAACTGCCACCCATGTGTTGGTAAGGGTCACCAGCTCTGGATCCTGTAAAGAAGGGGTGTACGTCATTATGCACGATCACGTGTCCGAAAGCATTTGCATAGTGTGAAAGGGGCACCTGTAGGAAAAACTCCTCCATGAGGGCCGTGGTCCACCTGTAATGCAGCTTCCAGGACTTGGCTGGGTGGCTGATGTCTGCCGCATGGAGGATCAGAGACATGGTCTTGGCTCTGTCAAGCCTGCCAAAGCAAGAACACGTCCAGATTATCAGGACAATAATTAATTTGTATTTGCTGAGTCCAAGGCCATAGAACTTCACTGTGACAAAAGAAAATAACCTACCCTTCAGGCTGCTGCAAACTGTTCCTTATATTTTTAATCTGCTGAAAGTGTCCGGACATATCTGTAGATAATACCATTTCAATCACTAAGTTCCGAAGATCCCTGCAGAGGCATCAAAGGGGAAAAGATGACATTTGGCCCTTTCTTGGTCCAGATTAGAAAATTTCTATGAATATCTCTGATCACATTGTATTTTTCCTAATGGATATGAACACAGAAGGTGCTAGTTTGTAAATGGAAAAGTGCTCACAAAAATTAAACAGTATTTCACCATGGACCCTTATGGATTTCAGAAGTTTCCAGCTGAGTAATCTGTGAATGATGCTGTTTAACATGCCCTGAAGAACAAGTATCCTTTCTTACCCCACAACCCTTCTTCCCAACTTACAATTCCTGCCTTATTTTTCCAACAGAAAGTATCCTTGACCATTTTCAAAAGACACTAAATGTGTTGTAAACGTCTTTCATTTAGTATATGTTTGTAATATATAGTAGTTGTGTTCATTTTGGGAAATTGATGAACACTTTGGAAGAAAAATATGTAGCTCAGTGGGGATTCAGAGCACTTTAGATCCATAGGGTCAACAAACAGGCTGAAAGTCTCTGGAAAAGAGGGGCATGGATTCTCAAAATACCCCTTGCTCCTTCATCACTTTGCCTCTTTTAAATATAATTACTATTAATAACACCAATACTATTTATCCAGGATTCATTCAGTCCAGGCACTGACCTAGGACTGTGCTGCAGTTGCTCTGTCTGAACATTTAAAGCCGGATTCTCCTAACAGCCCTATTTCCCATCACAGAAAACAGAGTTGTTAGCTTCTCCCAGAGCTGGTACACAGCTGACATAGGCTTCAGTCCAAGATTTTCCACTCCCAGAACTGGCAGCTGGATGACTACTGCATCATCCTCCCATCCTAGCAGCCCTGCAGAAGCCCAGGTGCCAAAGTGAGTGGGATTCTTTGTTTCAGCTTTTGGGACCTGACCTTGTCTAAACCAGAAGCACTGGTGTTATGGAAATTTTCAAGTAAGACGCTAAATATGGTGGCTGTACCACCAAGCTGATGCATGAATAATTTATTCTCACATGAAAGAGAAAATAAACCATCCCACCCAAAGTGTACATTAATTACAATTAATTCATTGTTAATTCAGTAGCAATAGGTAAAATGTCACTTACACAGGAAACCATATTTTATTTTTAGTCTGCAGTGTGGCCAAAGAAAGTAAGCTAAATCAATGTGTGGAATAAATTTAAATCATGATTTAGTGTCCAAGATAATTTACTATAAGCGTGGTCAGAAGGTCTAAAAAATACACATACAAATTAAAGTTTGTTGTTGTAAACTATGGGTATTCAGATTCAATGTGACTTTTAGAGCCATGGGAAATCAAATTCTCCTACAATTATAATATTAGATAGCTTGCCTAGAATGCTTAACCCAACTATTAATACAAAGAAAGCTATTAAAGGTGGTTAATAAAATTATTTTAATTACATTTTGCCCTGAAATTATGGTAAGATACATACTAGAATTGCAACTAAACAAACTGTTGTTAACTAAGGAGAATGAGACTAAAATTTTATAAAATCTATAGAACCTAATGTACTGTACTTTGTGCATAAGCAATCAACAATTGCCAGATAGTATATCAATAAAATAGGCACAATAGTATGTAAGGGGAATATTATCTAGGATTATTTTCTTGCCAAATTTTTTGCACTAATATATTCTTACTAAAGCTAACAAGAAATAGATACACAGGCAGAAAATCTACAAGTTTTTAAGATAAAATATCCATGTTTTAATTGTCAGTGAAATGTTATCAAGGCTTTAGAAGCAAATAGATCTTTATTAAGTTTTAAGGAAATGTTCACTCTATTTTATAGCTTATATGGTATGTACACTACTTGCTAATTCTGTAGAAACATTAAATTAGGATGACTGAGAAGTTACTAAAGAGTAATTTACAGCAATAAATTATTAGACTAACGTTTGTGAAATATAAAATGTAGGAAGTGAAATCACACTGAAATAGCGAGAAATTCAGCTATAAGAGGTTAATCCAAAGCAATAGCAACAAAATTAATATGAAAAGTATTACCTCTGATGTTGAGAATCACTGATGAGAAATTAATAATCTACGTGTAAATAAACCCTCTCAGGTCTTGGGAAATAGATCCAGGCGTTGTCTGCTTCTACCTTAGCCCCTGTGGTCTCCATGTAGCTGAGCAGTGACACTTTAAATCCTTTTACAATTAAATCCTGGCCTTCCTAGGCTAGAAATCCTCCTCAGAGTAAATGAAAGGCCTTAACTGGATCCCAAACAAGTGCCTTTTCCCCCACCTTACAGCACTTTCTACGGATATGAAAATGAGCTCATGTTTCTGAAACTGCCCTATAAATACCAGGAAGCAGTGGAAATTTAAAACTGTAACCATGGGAAATTAAGGGTTGTTTTGAACTGATTGTACCTTTTTTAGTTTTGTTATTATGTTTTTTATTTTTAAAAGACATTCCTTGATTCCATGTAACTTGGGCTCATTTCTTTTTAACTGGCTAAGGAAAAAAAAACGAAAAACTTTTGATACCTATATTTGAGTGGGAATCTTTTCCAGGCCACTTTACTACAACAAGATCTTTGTTAAACATAACACAAAATTTATTTTGTTTAAAAAAGTATAATATAGATTATTAGGGACATCCTTACATTGAAAAGATTTTATGCTTATCTGAGATTCATATTTAACTGAGCATCATTTACTTTTGCTAAATGAAGGAAATGATGACAACTACAGGCTAAAAAGAAAGGAAAAAGGGTTATATGGACTAGAAGTAGTAGGTCTGTTTTTCCTTACATAGCAATGAGCACCACCAGACTATGTAATTTCTTAAATTGATCCTTGGAGAAGCATGCAAGATTTCCCTCCACACTTGGCCCTCTTTCATACAGTTCTGAATTGTTGTCCCAAACAGTTGAAATTATTTTCTTAAAAAAGCTACATCCCACATATAGAAAAATAATGCAGGAAGGAATAAACATGATGCTAAAATTTTGAATTTACTTAAGAGCACGTATTGGTACACGCTGGTACAAATTGGTATACTGCAGACAGAATATAATTCTGTTTTGTACTTACTGTGTGCTGTGTGGTTTCACACTTGAGCATGGATGTTGAATTGCCCTGAAAACATTTCAGACCCATCAAGCCCAGTGAGGCTCCTGAACAAAGGCTTCTAGGTACTAATCCTTCTTGGAGTCATCCAGTCAACAGTGATCAAGTTTGTAGATCGTCAAGGCGTGGCATTTCTTCTGCTTTCTTTGCTTTAAGTCACTTCATTTTTCCTGTCTCTGAAATTAAATTTCCCTTAGGTTTCCTCTGAAACTCACCTCCAGTCATCTTTGGATAAATTTATCAAGATATTCATCTCTTCTTCTTGCATAAGGCGATAAGCCGCACTCACGTGATGATTCTCAAGGACAGAGCGATCGTTGTACAAAATGGCAACATCTGATCTAAGAATTAAAAACAAAATCCCCAGCAGAGGATTTGGTGAGATTTCATGAGAATAAAAGACACTCAAATGTCAAGTCATTTCACCAGTTAAAATCCTATAACTGAGCATGTACAATTATGGAAGTTGTTTCTTTTCTGAATGTATATGCTTAAGTTTCATAGAGATTTTAAGTTTTAGAGCAATTCTAGGTTCAGAGAAAAATTGCAGAATGTTCAGAAATTTCCTATACACTTTCTGCCTCCACACATGTATAACCTCCCCCGTTTCCCACATCTCCTACAGAAAGGTATTTTTGTTACAATTGATGAAACTGACACATCATTACCACCCATTGCCTGGGGTTGAACATTTTTGGGTTTGAATAAAATGTATAATGACATATGGGTACCATTAGAGTATCATAGAGGGTAGTTTTATTCCCTGAAAACACCTCTGTGTTCAGCCTGTTCATCTTTTTTGCCCCCAGTACTTGGTAACAACTGATCTTTTTGTTGCCTCTACAATTTCACTTTCTCCAAAATTCCATACAGTTTGAATTGTATAGTTTGTTGTGTTTGTTGTGCTCCTTTCATTTGCTAATATGCATTGAAGTTTCCTGCATGTCTTTTTAGGGCTTGGCAGCTCACCTCTTAATAATAGCGACTAATGTTGTATTGCCAGATTATACCACAGTTTATTCATGCGCCTATGGTGGAAAATCTTGGTTGTCTCTAAATATTGACAATTATGAAGCTTCTGTAAACATCTGCATGCAGGGTTTTGTTTGGGCATAAGTTTCCAACTTCTTGAGGTAAATGCTCAGAATGTAATTCCTGAGTCATCTGTTAAGAGCAGATTCAGTTGTGTAAGAAATTGTAAAAATGTCTTTCAGAAGGGGTAGTTCCCGTTTTGGGTTTCAATGGCGATAAATGAGAGTTCCTGTTGTTTCGCGTCCTCCTCGGCCTTTGGTCTTGCCAGTGTTCTGGATTTTGGCCATTCCCATGGACATGTAGCAGCATATCTCCGTTCCAATCTCCATCTCCCCACAGGCAAATGGTGTCCAGCATCTGTCACATGATTTTATGCTATCTCTAGATCTTATTTACTGAGATACTTGACAAAATCTTTGGCTCTTGCTCTAATCAAGTTGATTTCTTATTGTTAAATTCTAGACATTATTTCTATATTTGAATATGGTCATTTATTAGATATGTCCTTGGCAAATATTTTCTACCAGTCTGGGTTATATTTTCATTCTCTTAACGGTATCTTTGGCAGGGTTTGAATTTTTTATTTAAGTGAAATCTAGCTTTTCTTTTCCTTTGTGAATTGTACCTTTGGTGCTATATTTAGAGTCATTACTAACCCCAAGGTCAGCTAGATGTTTTCCTGTGTTATCTTCTAAGAATCTTACAGTTTTGTGTTTTATATTTAGGTTTATGATCCATTTCAAGTTAATATTGGGAAGGTCTGTGTCTCAGCATATTTTGTAATGCTGAAACATAATACTTGAGAATGAGTAATTTATTTATAAAGAACAAGAATCTTATTTCGCATAGTTCTGAAGGCTGGGATGTCCAAGGTAAAGACAGTGTCACATGGTAAGTGGAGTCTTGTTGCATTATCACATGGCAGAAATCATTGAATGGTGGGAAAGCATGAAGTCCAAGACAACAAACCCACTCCCAAGAGCCTTTTGATAATGGTGTTAATCTGTTCGTAAGGATGGAGCTGTTATAACCTACATGCCTCCCATTAATCTTCACCTTTCCCAACTATTGCATGAGGGATTAAGCTTCCAATGCATCGTTTCTTGGAGACATATTTAGATGAGATTGGGCACATTCAGGGTGGTATGGCCAAAGACTTGAAGACACATTGAAACCATACAGGCTGTGACTAGAATTTTGGCACATGGATGACCAATTTTTCCAGTACTATTTTCGAAAGGATTATCTTTGCCCTCTTTTAATGCCTAAATGTTTATGTGCTCACTTCTGGGCTTTGTATTCTCTTTATCAATTTGTCTATTCTTTCACTGATATCTCACTGTCTGGTTGCTGCAACTTTGTAATTAATCTTTAAGCCATGTGGTATCAGCCTTTCAACTTTTTTTCCTTTGTTATTGTACCAGAAATTCTGGGTATTTTACTTCTCCGTATAAACTTTTCCTGAAAATATACACAGTTAACTTGCAGAGATTTTAATTAGGATTTTGTTAAATCTATAGGTCAAGTTGACAGGGAATGACATTTTGACAAGATTGAGTCATTGTACCCATGAATGTGGGTCACCTAGTATTTCTTTCATTAGAGTTTTGAAGTTTTCCTCATATAGGTTTCTATATATTTTGTTACATTTGTACCTACTATTTCAGTTTGAGGGTGCTAATACAAACGCTACTATTTTCAACTTAAAATTCCACTTTTATATAGCTGGTGTATAAAAAAGCAAGAGACTCAGAATAGACCATTGTCTATTACTCTTGTACCCTGCAATCTTGCTGTAATGAATTTCTAGTTCCAGGATTTATTTTTTGTTGTTATTGATGATGTTGTTTTTTGGTGTTGTTTTTTTTTTTTTCTTTTTTTTTTTGGTTAATTCTTTCATATTTTCTAGCATAAACAGCCATATCATGCAAACAATGATAGATTTTTTTTTCTTCTTTCCAAATCTTCATTTCCTTCCTTTGCTTATTGCACTACTTAGGGCATCCATTATGTTGTTAAAAGTCAATGGTGACAAGAAAACATCCTGGCCCTTTTCTTGATCTTAATGAGAAAGGCTCCAAGTTTCTTACCATTGTATATGATGTTAGTTGTAGGTTTGTAGATTGTTTTTTTTTCTGATCTATTTATTTATATTTTTAATTGTTAGATAAAATTGTATATATTTGTCATGAACAATATGATGTTTTGAAATACATACACATCATAGCACCTAGTTATTTTTATGGTGAAAACATTTAAAATCTATTTTCTAAGCAATTTGCAAGAACTCAATCCATTGTTACTAACTGTAGTCATCATGCTGTAAAACAGACCTCTTTGAAATTACTCCTTCTACCTGAAAGATTGCATCTTTTGGTCAGAATCTACCTAATTGTGCTCTCCCCACCCCTGCCTCTAATCCTGGTAGCCACTATTCTATGCTAGGAAGTATTCTTTAGTAAGTAGAAGATGTTTCGCTCTATTCCTAGCTCACTGAGTAAGTGTTAGATTTTATCAAATGCTTGTTCTGTTTCTACTGACATGATCATATAACTTTTCTTCTTTAAGCTGCTAGGGTGATGGGTCATATTAATTGCATTTCAAATGATGAACCAGGCTTACATACCTGGAGTAATTCCCACTTGGATATGGTGGGTTTAGATATGTTTATGTCTTTTCCTTTCAGTTTATAATCCAAATACCTGTGAAATATTCTAAGTATGACAAAAGAAAATAATCCTGATTCAATCTGTGCATGAATAAGCCCCTTCGTACCTTATGTAGGTAGTTGACTGACTTAGGGAGATCTTGCCTCAAAACAAACAAACAAAAATATCTGGAGTTGTAGCTCAGTGCAAAGGCACTGGGTTCAACCCCTAGTAGGGGGGTGGGGGCTGTTTCAGGTTTACAATGGATAGAGACATGGTTATAACTTAGTGCTCCACCTGCCATTGATTTTTTTTTTTAACTGAAGAGTAGGCAAGGAAAAAACAAACAAACAAACAAACAAAAAATGGCCAGTAGAACAAACTGGGTAGCTATGTATATGTTACTATACTTTATTATTGCAACTGTTTTACTATCTATATCCACAATATTATATCATATACCATATATATATATGTATTGCTACAAGCATTCTACTCAAGATCTGTAACTGATAGTCCACCAGATAAACCCCACTTTACTATTAATCCAACATAAGAAATGATCAATTAGGCAGTAGAATAACTACTGTCTTTTGTTTCCGACACTATGATAAAGGTGAAAAATTATGTATTTAGCTAATCATGCATATCTCTGATGTAGATTTTTGTTTTCAGTTTACTCAGTTAAGGCATAAAAACCCTTCATCATGAATTTTAACTCAATATAGAGAAAACTGATTTGGAAAAGTATATATATATAT